ATAATATATATACATATATATAAATATTTATACATACATATACATATACATACATACATATACATATACATACTATACATAATATAATAGTATAATATATATATATATATATATATATATATATATATATATATATATATATATCATATAAATATGCATATATATATATGTATATATATATACTATATATATGATATATATATATATATATATATATATCATATATCTATATATATAATATTATATAATATATATACAAATCATATACATTTGAAACTGTTAATTGAGAGGTGCTCGACAAATATTGAGGACTCTGTAATGTAAGTTTTGGGGATATATAAGTAGAACCCCTACTTCTTTGGTCTGGAGTTGTCATGTCAAATCTAAAAAATATCGTATGGTTTTGCTGTCTTTAGTGTTGAGTCAGCTCCATCTAATCCAAGGGTGGGAACTCCAGGCCTCAAGGGCCGGTGCTCTGCAGGTTTTAGGTATCACCCTGGCTCAACACACCTGAATCAAATGATTAGTTCATTAACAGGCCTCTGGAGAACTTGAAGCCATTTAAATCAGCTATGTTGGATCAAGAACACGTCTAAAACCTGCAGGACACCGGCCCTTGAGGCCTGGAGTTCCCCCACCCCCAATCTAATGAATGAAAGTAAAGAAGGTCCTGGCTGTGTTCAGTTTCATGGTGTGTGTTGAACACTGTTATATTTAGTAAGTTTTGGCCCTTAGCCAGCTGATCCTTGCATGCACTACTTTTTGTAAGATGGCATAGTTTCTGTACCAAATGTGTGTTGTTTGGGTTGCACTTCGAAGACATCCACCAAACAGGGCAAAAGCTGTTTATGAACCGAAGCTGCAGCAAGTAATGCTACCCTGGAGGGTGTGGCCTGGGCAGGAAGAGGCCACCTTTGACCATGCGTTCTCAGCTTAAGGCTGTTGCAGACATTCCTCCTGATTTGTTTCACCTAACTCAGTTGGTATTTGCAATATATTTAATTTTGTCTTTCTGTGAACCTCAGTGTTATTTTGTATGTTCAAGTCAAACATTTTGTTCCTACAAGTAGAACAAGAAACAAGAATCATAATAATAATCACTCAAATAATCACTTTCTGTCTTCCCAGACTTTTTGACCATTGCAACAATACTGGGAACTGGAATCTTAGGTGAGTATTCACATATTCACAGCTTTTTTTTTCTTGAGGTGCATGAATCACAGTTTTTACAACATCAAGTAAAACATCTGATAAGCAAACACACGTCGGTCTGTCCTGGAGGTTAACATCTTGGGCTAGGGTGTATAGTCCGTAGCAACAATAGCACTTTAGCTATTATGGTTTTGTTTTTTCTGTGTGTGTGCTTGTTTGTTTCTGTACTAAAAATGGTTGGACAGTGAGTAGTTGTTCTTCCTTTTCTGAATGGTCTAGCTTCGGAAATTAAGGTTAAAGCCTGTTCTTCTCTGTTTGTTTGCTGGTTTTTCTGAGTCAGCCCTTGGAATCTCTCTCCCCTGACACATAACTTTGTTTTTAAATGAGAGCTGTGCAACTATTATTACAGCAAGATAATAGAGATAAAAATGAATACCACCATGTTCTGCAATAATTTTCTTGCTTTGTGCATACATTTCAAGTAATTCACACAACTGTGGCAGATCTGAATATTAGTTATCAGTTAAAATTCCAGAAAGGACACTTAAATAAACATATATATATATATACATACACATATATATATACACATACATATATATATATATATATATACATATATATATATACATATATATACATTGAAACTGTTAATTGAGAGGTGCTCGACAAATATTGAAGACTCTGTAATGTAAGTTTTGGGGATATATAAGTAGAACCCCTACTTCTTTGGTCTGGAGTTGTCATGTCAAATCTAAAAAATATCGTATGGTTTTGCTGTCTTTAGTGTTGAGTCAGCTCCATCTAATCCAAGGGTGGGGAACTCCAGGCCTCAAGGGCCGGTGTCCTGCAGGTTTTAGGTATCACCCTGCATCAACACACCTGAATCAAATGATTAGTTCATTAACAGGCCTCTGGAGAACTTGAAGCCATTTAAATCAGCTATGTTGGATCAAGAACACGTCTAAAACCTGCAGGACACCGGCCCTTGAGGCCTGGAGTTCCCCCACCCCCAATCTAATGAATGAAAGTAAAGAAGGTCCTGGCTGTGTTCAGTTTCATGGTGTGTGTTGAACACTGTTATATTTAGTAAGTTTTGGCCCTTAGCCAGCTGATCCTTGCATGCACTACTTTTTGTAAGATGGCATAGTTTCTGTACCAAATGTGTGTTGTTTGGGTTGCACTTCGAAGACATCCACCAAACAGGGCAAAAGCTGTTTATGAACCGAAGCTGCAGCAAGTAATGCTACCCTGGAGGGTGTGGCCTGGGCAGGAAGAGGCCACCTTTGACCATGCGTTCTCAGCTTAAGGCTGTTGCAGACATTCCTCCTGATTTGTTTCACCTAACTCAGTTGGTATTTGCAATATATTTAATTTTGTCTTTCTGTGAACCTCAGTGTTATTTTGTATGTTCAAGTCAAACATTTTGTTCCTACAAGTAGAACAAGAAACAAGAATCATAATAATAATCACTCAAATAATCACTTTCTGTCTTCCCAGACTTTTTGACCATTGCAACAATACTGGGAACTGGAATCTTAGGTGAGTATTCACATATTCACAGCTTTTTTTTTCTTGAGGTGCATGAATCACAGTTTTTACAACATCAAGTAAAACATCTGATAAGCAAACACACGTCGGTCTGTCCTGGAGGTTAACATCTTGGGCTAGGGTGTATAGTCCGCAGCAACAATAGCACTTTAGCTATTATGGTTTTGTTTTTTCTGTGTGTGTGCTTGTTTGTTTCTGTACTAAAAATGGTTGGACAGTGAGTAGTTGTTCTTCCTTTTCTGAAAGGTCTACTTCGGAAATTAAGGTTAAAGCCTGTTCTTCTCTGTTTGTTTGCTGGTTTTTCTGAGTCATCAGCCTTGGGTTTATTATGTTGGCTCAGCACTTGACCATATTTGTTTTTAGATGAATTAACACTTGCTTTGATGCACATAGAGTAGGTTAATGAGTTGACATCTTCAGTAAGCTCTTTGTGAGATGCACTCATTTCTGCTTATGGAACACATGTAGAGCCAATCTCAGTGGGAGGTTTTTATGAAACAAAATGCTGAAACTTAAATAAGGCCACTTGGAATTGGATGATGAGTCAGAACAGTAAGTCAAGTGACTTAATACTTAATGTTGAGACTGAAGGTAATTTGGTGGCAAGCAAAAAAAACTATTGGAAAAACAAGACAAATTCAGAGGCAGTGTTTAAAACAACCAGAGTTCTGGATGAGACAAAAGAAGGAATATCATACATTTCAGTATGAGATGAACAACACTACAAACTGCTCTGAGAATTTACTGAATAGTAGAAACAAGATCCTTCCCACACAGTCTCAAAATAAACCCGACTCTTCACAGAAGTATTTATTAAGTTTACTGCACTGGAGTATTGTGACTATTGAAACTTTAGAGACCTGTATTTTTTCTTTCTACTGGATGGACTTTTCTAATATAACTTGAAGCATAATTAAAGCGCTGTCCATCTCCTGGCTGTCATTGGCAGTGCAAATTTAAGTGTGGTTTATGAAGTGTAGTTAACACCAGAGAGATTTTTGTAGAGGTGGAAATTACATGGAACATTACATTTAAGTACTTTGTTTTCAGCAGGGTCTTCATGTAGTTCCACAAAGGTGGAGCCCTTCCAAGTTAATACTTGTTCAGTCACTTAAATCTCATATTGAAATCAGCACCATCCATTAAATTTTATGGGAAGTTTGAGCCAGAGTACAAAGGAGTGTCTGAGAGAGCGAAAAACGAGCCGAGATGGTGATAGACAGGCAGGTGGATATGCTGACAAAGAGTCAGACATTGTCTAGCACATATCTTCTGGTAAGCTTAGATGGGAATGAAATTCAGAAATAGTTTCACCTCGTTTTAATTTGTAGGTCTTCCAGTAACGATAGCCCATGCTGGACTGGTGCCTTTCCTGTTCTCCTTTATTGTTGGCTTCTTTGTCCAGGTAAGTAATACACAACCTCTGATTTTATTGTTTTATAGTTCATGAAACGACCACAACCATTTCAACCACAAAACCTACATGTATTTTCCGTATTCTTTCCCATGCAGGCCTTGCTGATCTACCTGTTTGTGGAGCTTCTTCAGAAATGTCAGGTGATGCAGCTGGAATCCTTAAAGGTCAGTAACTGAATTAAACCTGTGTAGTGCCTACATTTTATGTTTTGCTGTCCAAAAGTACTTAACTGGCAAGAAGCTAGAAGCTTCATTCTGCACTAATAATAATCAAAGACACGGAATATAGCTGGAGCCTTTAGGAAGGATTAGGGATTAAGGGAATGAAAACTTGATACAGAAACATGATACAGAGCATGGATTTAGAACTTTTTTTAAACACAAATCTTTACCCTGATACTTTCCCTGCATGTCAAACGAAGAAGTGTATTAAAGCTTACCTTACTTATTCATCATTTTCTGGTTTCGTTTTGGTCAAGTGGAAAGCTAAATGACTCTACTTTCTGTGGTAATCATAGACAGGTGTTGCAGAGTGTATAGTCATGGATCAGGTGGGTGTGGAGGATCCAGTTCATACTGAGGAAGAAGATGATGACAGTGAAAATGCAGAAGCAGGTGAGAAGCCCGTTATACAAACTTAAATTCTTTAGAAGTAATTTTGTTGCTAAAGGAACCAAACCTGGAACACGATTCTTCCATCAAAATGTAGCTAAAAATGAGACATTTCGTATACTATAACAAAGTGCGTGTTTGCGTGTGTATATATTTTTGTGTATATTTTTTTTAATATATTTTGCTATTAAAACTTTGAAATGCCCCATGACATTTATGCTCAAACTTAGTTATAGAAAAAGATGTTCTGGGGGGAAAGGAGAGCTTTTAGCTTTAGATTGTAACATTTGGAGTGGGTGTAAAATTGATTTTTCTGCAGAGTTTAGACTCTAAATGTGTTTTTCAACTTTGAAAATTTCACGTGTATCTTTTGTACTCAAGATGTTACCAGTTATAAAAAAAGAAAAAAGAAGTCTACTTAAAAAGTGCCAAATTTCAACCCACTGCTATGTACTTTGAGGGCCTGTAACTAGAACATTTCTTATAATATGAAGGTCACATTTTGCAGGCTTTAATAGCTGCGCTCAAGTTGTTGTACAAAAAGAAAAAAAACATTCTGTTTCTGAGCGGCTCATGTGGGAGGCAGTTACTGATTTTTTCCATAGGAATTTTTCCCAGTGTTTTAAATGGACTTAAACTAATACATTGGGGCAGGACTGATTTGAATTATATTATTCTGTTGACTAAATTTTTCAGATCACTAATTACATTCAGGAATACTAATTAAACTGGTGTTAAACAGGAGATATGCATGTGTGCTAATTTATGAAGCCTAATTTGTTATAACCTAAAGTAGAGGAATCATTTTCAAATATTAGCGATGACACTAACACTAATTTGCAAGCCAGTTTTTCAGGAATATAATCATAATTTACTAAGAATTCTGTGTTTTCTGATCTGCACTGTAGTTGTTTGATAGTAAAACTTCTGCTAAATGCTTGCCTGTTAATTCAAGACCACTGCAAATGTACTAATTTGCAAATGGTTCAACAATGTATTTGTGTGATGGTTTTAAACCATCACACAAATACATTATTTGTGGTATTTGTGTGATATTGTGCACAGAAATATTGCTTAATGTCTACTCTTTAAAAAATTTCTAAAAACAAGTTAAAGCCTTGATCTTGGCTTTGTGAGGCTGTGGTAATGGAAAATAAGGAAGCACTTGCTGGGAGAAATTTGCCTTTTTACATGTGAAAGGTGTATTTTAACCTAAATTGTGATGTTTTTCAAAATACCACTCCCTGCTCTGTCTACCCCCAAATTCTGACTTACTTTGGTTTTATACTGCCAAATTCAGTAACATACTACCCTGCGCATCATAAAATGATGCTTGGTGTCACTATGCATCAGTGAGAACCTGCTGCTTAATTCTTTGAACTATAATTATTTTTTGATTATTGATAAGGCATATTCAAGGTTGCTTTTCAAAGCTTTCTTTTTGCATTTCTAAATTGATGCTTGTGCTGCATGTTTACACATACATGTATAGAAATAAACACATTTCTCATAAATTCTCTGCATTCATTGCTTGGGTTTGTTTACTAAAGATCTCTTGCAATTAATCACATTCCTCTCCAGTGCTGCTTGGAATACTCTGAGAGGAGCTGTAGATATCACAAGCATTACTACATTTACATATATCATCTGTATAATATCTTTAGTATCTAGCTTTACCTTGACTTAAATGTATGACTGACCTCTCTAAGTACTGCGTGAGTAGAGTCATAGATAAACTCGTCAGTATACCTAAATTGTGGAGATGAAAAGGAAACGTCAATACATAAACCATGATTTAGAAAAAGTTCAAGTACATACTCAGGATGTGGCTCTCAGTAATTGAAAGATCTATTGGGTCTCTGAATTATGCCTTCTGCAGTTTATGGATTGTTTGCAAATAGGGCTGCCACAAACGATTATTTTGATAGTTGACTAGTCACAGATTATTTTTGCGATTAGTCGACCGATCAGATCATGCATCCATTGGATGTAAAACTACAGCTTATTGCACCAGCATGCATCTGCTCTTATATAACTATCATTAGCTTACAGCTTTAAGCTTTTAAGGTGCTAACTAAAAATAATGACAAGATGATAGTTTATTAAATTTTAATGAAATTTGCAGATTGTTTCGGTGAAGTTTAATAAACTCCTTGCTATCTAAAATATAACGGGACACCGGAGTATACTCTCGAGCATCTCACACTTCTGATAGTCAGCTGTCTGCTTGACGTTTATTCAGCTGTGTAAAAACTATAACTTTAATCTCACCGAACTGATTTACTCAGGAACAAATAAAATACTGAAAAAAGCCAAACAATAACATTTTTAAGTTATCTAAGTGACTTATATGTGTTTAACCTGAGCAGCAAAAGACGGCGGTGGGTTTGAAAACGATTTGCCGGGAGTCCGGCGTTCTCACAGGCTCTAGTGAGCCTTGCCCCCGGCTAGCTTTCGAGCTGGTGGGTAACAGACGTCCCCGAAAACGTCGAAGCGCTTTTGAAAATATGTGGTGTCTTGATAAACTGAGCAGATATTTGAGGTTTACACAGCTACATTCTCGCCTGAAAATATGTTAAACGTTTATTTTGTGCCCCAGAAAGAATAATAAGAGTAATATTAAAACTAACTAGCTGCCGCCATTGTTGGAAACTGAGCTGGGCTGCACTATGAATTCTGGGACCCAGCCAGTGTTGCCAACTCTTCAGTAAGGAAAATCGCTATTGGTTGTCCTAAAAGTCGCTAGAAGTCGCTAAATGACGTCACCTAATTTGCATAATTGGTCATGCTAATCTAATTGTAACCCATGTTGTTGGAGAGAGAAATAACATCGTGGAAGAGACATAAAGTGAGTAAAAAACATCCTAAATGCATTTAGAGTTTATTTAGAACTACAAATTAAATTTCTTTTAGCAATTATTGTTTTTTTTAATGTCACAATTCCAACCCTGCTCCTTTACCCGGGCTTGGACTGGCAAAAGTGACCCGAAATAGGCACTCTGGTGGAGTTACTTTGTGTGTAACTCCACCGTAACCCAAGCTGTTACGAGTTCAAATATTGGGGATGGAGACAAGAGAAAAAACCACAATAACTGGTCCGGCCGGGTTAAGTCAAACGATGATTTTAATAGTCACACGCGTGGGAGATGGACACTGTATGCAGACAGCCTCAGATCTCAAAATGGTGGAGCATTGATCAAACTCTTATAGCCTCTGGTGCCCCCACCTTATCATAAAAGCCTAAACATTCACATGCTTTTCTCTCACACGGCGCCTAAGCTACGACCTTGGCTCCCCGTTTATCTGCTCCTGCTGAGATGGGGCAGAAAACTCCAGCATGCTCTGTTCTCTTCTAATCAGACAAATAAGGCGATGACTTTCTGCGAACAGTACTTCTTATAACATCATAAAACAATATCATTCATCCACAATAAATCAGCAGTCTAATGTAATGCAAATCAGTTTAACTAATGCAATAGTTATCAGCTTCTTCTAATTCAGGAGAATACTGCAAACTAAAACTATATAATAATTCACAATCTTTAATTAGGGGTATAACATGGCATAAAATAATATTATAATTTAACAGTTTATAAGTAGTTTTAAACCTTGTGATCCACAAAACAGCATAAGAGTAAAAGAGTAAAAGAACTGACTGCGTTACAGCACCCACTGCTTGTTGAGAGTAAAAGCGATAGGTGCTTTCACGTCTTTTTTCACGTCTGAAAACTCACTAAATATAGCGACAAAGTCGCTAAGTTGGCAACACTGGACTCAGCTTCTTCTTCTTCTTCGGGGTTTAACGGCAGCTGGCATCCTTGTACATGCAGTGCTGCCATCTTCTGTTTCAGTCTGTTATTACACTCTTAAAATCCTACTACTTATTCCTGCGTCTTTTGTGATCTTGCAAAGCTTCAAACAACGCATCGACTATTAAATTACTCGTCAACGATTTTGATAATCGACGTAATCGAGACTGGTCGACTAATCGTGGCAGCCCTATTTGCAAATAAAAAACAGAAAAGTGGCGTGTTGGACATATTTACATAATGTATTCTGTATATGTATATAGATTGTTGTTAACCTGCAAATGGATGTTAGCCTTGTCTTGGCCAGCTACAGCATTGAAATGCACCTTATACATTTATGCATCAGTAAAATGGTTAACAAGCTTAAAAAAAACAGTCAAAGGAGATTTGTTTTTAAAATTTGATGTGTCCCAGTATAAACCAGCCGTCATTATCAAATCAGACAAAAATTCCTCTTCACCATGAAAGCTGCATGTTAATGCTATGCAGCTGCTTGGTTCTGGTTTGGAATTTTTTTTTTTTTTTTTGTATAGTGATGCTGTTGTGTTTGTGTTTCAGTGCCCTACTCTTACTTAATGGACTTCTGCATTGCTATTCATTTAACAGGCATGTTTGCCATTAATTTAACATGCTGGTTTTAACTGTCACATTTAATAATGTACACTCTGCCAGGTCCACTTTCATCAAAGTTATTATCATCTGTCCTTGCAACATGCATGTGAGTTCAAACCCAGAACAGCAGCAACAAAGACTGTGGGTTACTTGAAGAGCAGAATCTATGGCAATAGCTGCAGCATTCTTCAAGCTCAGTGTTCAAGTCAGCACTTTAAGGAAGCTGAAATAAGCTTCAAAAGAACAATGCATAGCATAATCGGTAGTTGAAACAGAATATTAAAAAAGTGATGGGCTGTAGTAAGGACCATCAAGCCTCCAAAGAACTTTTTAAACACCCTTCTTTTGATATGTTGTCTTCACTAATTTTTTGTCTCTTGGGGGTTATCATGAAAACAATGAAAAGATTCTGTGGGGGTTCGTGACCTGAAACTCTCTTGTTGTGTTGTGTGTGGGTTTTGTCTGGGTACTCCTGCTTCGTCTCAGAGGCCAAAGACACGCTTGTTAGATTAATTGGTGATTGTAGGTGTGAATGTGAGTGTGAATGGTTGTCTGTCCCTGTGTTAACCCTCTGATACATTGGTAACCTATATAGGGTGTGTTCTCCTGTCTGCCCTATGACAGCTAGAATAGGCTCTAGCTTAGTTGTGACTGAATTGGATAAGAAAACTGATGGATGGATGGATTATTTTTATGTTTAAAATTCCTGAATATGTTCTTTAGTGCTATTCACCTTCAGGAGGCTTGAAAAAGTGCAAATAACATGAAAAATGAAAATCTGAGAGGGGAAACTATCATTCATGTCTACATTGAGGCTATAACCTGTGATAAAAGGGCCACGAGTCTACTTTCTTTGGAAATGATGTGCTAAGCTGAACATTTGGCAGCTTTTTTTTTTTTTTTACTGTAACAGTTTGAGGTTCGGTGAATTGATTGCCTCCTGCATTTGTCTATGTCTTTTAGATACAGGTTTACTACAGCCGGATGCAGCAGCTCTGCATGACCAAGCCGGCAGTCTGCAGCCGAACCTTCATCTGCTTGGGCGAATCTTCCTCTCCCGCCCCATGAGCCATGCTTTTAACTGCATTCTCCTCTTCCAATTGTAAGTTACCATGGCAATGATCTTTGCAGGTTCTTAAAGTTGCATCATTTACCAGTCACACATTAAGTACCACTGAGTGTGGGAGGAATGTGGTTGAATTCAGTGTTTTGCAGCACTTCGCTCTACATGTGATGGAGAATAAGTTCAACCTTTGTTAATGAGCTGTAAGCATTTTTTGTTTTAGTTTAGTTTCCTTTTCTTTCCTTTTTGAAGGGCTGATCACTCTTAGACTGCTCCAGCTGTTTCTTCAGCCTGTGGTGTTTGTTTTCTTATGCTCCTTCTGATTTTAAGAAGCTGAATAGTATAGTGGCACCATTACAACCTCTGGAACAATTGGTAAGGAATTCCAGCCAGGGCATGTATTCAGTAAGGGTCACCAGGCTAGGTCCGCCATGCTACCCAAGCCTACCTCAAGCCGTGGCTTGGAACTCTCTTGAGATAGCACAGGTCAGGGTGAGGGTATAAACCCACTTCCAAAGCACTCAATGTCCCTTGGGAGATAAGGACCTCAGTACATGTGGAATGGCAGAAGTCTGAAGCCATGGGAACTTTTATTCAAGTTGGTTTGAATCTGTGGAGGAGGCTAAAGTTACTAGTAGTTCGGATTCTTCTCATTCACTGAGAAACTGACCATGGAGTATGACAGTGCTTAGAGTGCCTGTCAGCATCTGGGATAAACTACACATACCAAGAGTGCATAGCTTGTTCAGAGTTTCCCATGAAAACTTAATGCTGCCAAGCAAGCTTCTGAAATAACTTATTTTGTAAATAAGTTATTTATTAGATTAATAAAAACTTGAAAATAACCAAATATGCTTTCCTCGGGTAAAAACCACCCAGTCATTACGGCCCCCTAATGTGTACATGTCACAATTATGAAAGTAAGTTCTTTCTAAAAATGTAACTCATTTCTAAAAAATCCTGGAAATGGCAAAAGTATTATATAATACTTCTATAAGAATTGGGAATATCACCAGATCCTTATATTGTTGACTCACACACTCTTACTGTAATGAGTGAAAGATGCTGCACAAAGTGCAAGGTATAAGAGGGGCATTTTTCTACAAATGTAAGGAAGCCTTCCATTGTCTGTTTTTTTTTTTTTGTTTGTTTGTTTTTTGTTTTTTTGTTTTGTTTTGTTTTTACTCGAGGTGTGTGCACTTATCTCTGAACTACCCATTTGTAGGAAATGACATAAGAAATGAAGCGGTTGGGGTGGTGGAGTAGCATTCCACAGTCTGCTGTAGTTTGTAGACATTCATTTAAGATCCAACTCAATGGAAAAACCCAAAGTGTTGTGTTGTGATGGGTCCAAAGAAGGAGAAACTACACAATTGTTTTTCCTGTGAATTATAAACATTATCACAGCCCCACACATGCAGTAGGTTACTTTCCAAGTCTAGTAAGACTGTTCTGTAAAGGTGCATTATGGATTTTTATTTTATTATTTTTTTTGTAGTCTTATAGTTGCTAGGTTCATGAATGTTTTCAAGGTTTTGTTTTGTTTTTTTATAGTTACTCTTTCAGATTAGTGACACGACGCTGAGTTTTCCTAGAACAGGCTTCATAACTTGTTTTTCACACCTGTCCCTTTAAAAGTCACATTAGAATAAATCCTAATATCATATTTGGCCATTGTTTTTTGGTTTTCCCCCTTCGGGCGTTGTTACACAGTGATATTTTAAACCTGTCGAGTAATTTCATTTCAGTGTCCTGCACCAGCACAACTACTCTTAACTGAGCGAGCACAGCAGACTTGTGTAAAAACTGTCCTTGAGGTTCAGACTTTATATCACTGGCTTCTGCTGCACAGTCTTGAAATATTGAGTTACAAGCCTGAGCCAAATAGTGATAAAATATGATCACTGCTGCACCATCTGCAGTCCACCAACTTTTTTAAGTAACCTGTTTTCAGTTGTCTGTCCTTAATTTAAATGTGACAGCTGGTAAATGAAACTTTGCATTGAAATGCTTAAACATGGAAGCTGCTGTGGCTGGCTGAGGTCGAAATCTCCTGATTATGCATGAAAGCAAAGCACAATCACAGCTGACGCAAAAATACTGACCATTAATTTTAATTATATGCATATTGTAGAAAAACACACAGTATATTTCCTGCAAAAATAATGGGAATGTAATGTTTGATTTCCCTAATGGAAATTTCTGTTCCTTATCAATTTCTCCTCTGGCTCAAAACTAATGATCTGTCTGGGTCAGTCTGTGGAAGTAATGGTCTAGAAAAGTCATTCTTTTTGCTAATATTTATTTATTTTTAATTTGAGGAAAAACACTGATGCATCACCCTCCAAATAAGTGTCTTCAATTAAAGTAATGACCAAATGTTGCCAGTGTAAGTACTTTGACTTGTCCATCCTGTTGTATCCTGCATTGTTTTTCTTTTTTTTTATTCTTAACAGAAATACACCAGTGTGCTGTTAATCAGTTTAGGTTTGAATTATTTGTTTGCACCATTGACAGATTTGTGTGTCCATGTGTGTGTCCTTATGGGCACAGAGGAGGGGCACAGGGCATTTAACATCGTCGGTGGAAGGTCTTGTTATCAGTGTGTGAACAGCTCTGAAACACCTGGACAATCGATAGTTCCCTCATTGTGTTCAAGGAGGCTTAGTGGTCGATCAATGCAGAGGCTCAGCCCCGCTAACGCACACACAACACACGACCTGCATCTTTTACCCTTGGCGCCCCTCGCTCTTTATGTACTGCCCTACACGGTAGAGCTGTTGTAAAATGTGCATTTTGGCACAGCCATGCAGGGCACCTTATGCACACAGAATGTATGAGTACATATAAGTAATCTAACACAAATTGCTTGATGAAATGTGTTTGCGCTTTATTAATTTCATGTACCCATGTACTTTTTTTGACTTTATAAAACTGGAATTTAAGGATGAAACTCTCAAACTTCTCTCTTGTCTTCCCCAGAGATCCGTACACACCCACACATGCAGACTAATGAGTGGATTATATAGCCAAGTCGTAAAGATAAAATGTGTGAAATATCTGCCTTACTGAACCTCTACCAAATCTCCTTTACATTTTTGTGAGTTTAAGGGGAAGTACACAGTCTGCAGAATCTTTGTCATTTTAAAATGCTTTACCAAAGGCCAGACGTTTTATTAAAATATTATTAGAAACACTATACAAACAGCCAATCATGTAGCCGACGTACATAAAATCATCCAGATACAGGCCAGGAGCTGGAGTTACCGTTCATGGCAAACACTGGAGGAAAACGGTGATCTCGCTGATGTTCTGTGGAGAGAATCACTGTATTGGTAGAGGAGAACAGCCAGGTCGGTTGGCTCTGACAGAAGGGTCACTCAGATAAGCACACCTTACAACCAAGTGTAAGCATCTCACACTGCACAGCACACTGAAGCAGATAGACCCCTGTCAATCAAAACAAAAAAAGGAATTTGAGGTAGTGGAAGGTGATAGACAAATACAGACATCCATTTTTTTTCTTCAATGAAAACAACACATGAGATGTCAAAAATTACTAAATAACTAGATAACTAAGATAATGCCTCTGGAGTTTTTCAGGAACCACATATTTCTTCTAACCTTTTTTTGAATGCTCACATACTGTAGCTGGGTATATTTCATTTTAAGTGGGTTGCAATGTTACTGTCCACAGTCTGTGTTTTACTTGCAGTAGACAGAACTAAGCAACATCCCCAAGCAGACAAGTGCACGACTAGCATAGAAACTAAACACATGTACTGCTGTGAACGCTGTCACAGCCAAATAGATATTGGCAACCTAAAGAAATCCGTATCAGTTTGAGTATATACTATGCTTGAAACATTTTCATCTCATTATCTGCTGTTGGACTGCGCTTTCCATCAAGAAAGTGAAATGATTACACTCCACCAGACTCTATTTACAGAAACAGGACTTTTACTTGTGAAAATATCAGATTGGTTGGCTGCTTTTTGTGGATCTTTAGCATTTTCATTGTTTATTTTGCAAACTAACATCATAAAAGGAGGAGCGACCAACATTTTCAGTGTAGTAGATATCTGATTTTGTCTGGAAGCTTTGAAAAAGTTAACACAGTAATAACCTTTATTCATTGTAGCCATATGTCAGATTTTTAACATTGTATTATCATGTCTTTTAACCTAAAGAAAGCTTAAAAATACTGATGTAAATGAATAAGGAAATATTGTATTTTTTTTTTTTTAAAGAAAAAATGTTTCTCACAAATATGTTTTGTAGGCCTAATATGAGGCTACACTGCTCACATCAAAACTGGGTTGACATATTCATATGCTAGCCTCTATATTTGGCATCAACAGTATGACTCCATGGACTCACCCTGCCGTATGTTAACAACCCAGGCTAGTGATGGTGTCTCAGAAATCCTTTACCCTCCTGCTCAGGCACCAGGCCTTAATCAGATCATTGTGTTTTGGATGTGATAAAAGATATGACTGGTAACAGGAATGTGCAAATAAGAAAGATATTAGAGAAATATATTTTATACCATTCGTGTGCATCTCCTGAACAATTGTTCCTGTACGAGTTCAGACCTGGTTGCATCATAATTTCCATGACTGTTCATAGCTTGTGTAAGAGTTTGTGTGGACATGAGTTTAGAAACCAGTGTTCTCCCAGTAAACGAGCACAAATGTTACCATCTACCCCAAATGAAGGCCCCCCGTTTTGGACACAGTTTAGAAGATCTAGTCTGTATTTCACATGTGCATTTGCAAGTGATTGGATCTGAGGAATCCCAACTTTATCCCAGAGTCTTTTATAAGGCTGGATGTTGTCCAGAGGTAGAGGATCAGAGGGTTTGAAGGGGAGAAGTTGGCCAAATTTATATTGAGCAAACATTTTTCGTTTTAAGGGGGAAACTTTTTGGTCTAACCTCATACCAGAGGTTGATGAGGACATTTGTGCTGCGCAAGTTGTGTGATTTCATATGTTTTTGACTTATGTTGTGTGGATGTTGTGTTTTCATGTGTATACAACTGTATTACTGTGGCACCACAGGTTAGCAGAAATGTTCACGTATTCAGAATGATAGAAGTAAACGTTGTTTTTCTTTGTATTTTGCCTTTTTAAGTCCACATGTTATATCTTGACTTTGAAATCTCTCGCTGCAACATTGACATCACTGCTTCTCTGTTCTTTGCTTTTCAACTCTGGCAAGTTTTTTTTTTCTTATGTTCAGAAATATGGTTTAAACTGCTGTAGATGAGAGGACTAGGCTGCATAAAACTTCCTAAATTTGTTGGCATTTCCTTTCAAGATTTGAAAGCGGGGAGATATGAAAGAGTGGGCGTAACGCCGCGCTCCAAAATAACATTTAGCTGTCTGGAGAAACCACTAATAGATTTGCAGTCTCAACAACCAACTATTGAGAGATTACAGGAGCTTAGACTTATAAGGAATGGAACAGATGTTGAGCTCCAAAAACCTGTCTTGTCATTCACGTGGGATTGAAACGTACTGTAAAGACACTCACTTCTAATGTTTAGCAACATCCGGCTTCTTCGTGATGGTACAGCATTTTGCAAGCAGATTTCTGGCTTGATGTGGGTGTGTGATGTTCAAAGTACATGTAAAATATACAACCAAAACATTTGCTTTAAGTAGCCCCCGAAGGCACCTTTTTTTGTTTGGAGAAAATATAAAATCGAAAAGTTGTGGAGGATCAAGGCACTGCATGGTAAACAAGAAACTATTATAAAATTAAATCTCTTCATTGCCTCGGGCGCTATGATGCAGTAACAACCTAATGTTTAATACAACGGAGGAGTGCTTGTCACTAAGACTGTAGAGGATGACTGATCACTACTTAATACCTAAGCGCCTCTCTTTCTCTCCTTTTCCTTCCCTGCTTTCCTCTGCCTGTATCTCTGTTTTTCCCCTTTTCTGTCTTTTTCTATTACCGTCTTTCTCCAGCATTTCAATTGGAATTAGTTATGTCTTAGCTGGCAGTGAGGCCTACGCTGCACTTCTTAATGTCAGGTAAGTCTTACGATCATGCTACTTGGTTAAACTGTAGCTTTTTAGGTTATTCTGATTAATTTCACGTTACACTTCTCTTTAATCAAACCTAAATCCAGTTTCAAACCATGCACAAGGGATGGGAATCCTTTCATCATATCTTTTTAGGCTCTGCTTTCAACATCTGTTAATTAGCTTTTATGTGGCTGCCTCTGTCAGTTTTTGCTTGAATTATCTGGGGTGCTAGGCTTTCCGATTTAGCCTAATGGGCCTTATGTATGCTATCCTCTACATAGTTTACATGCAGTATGGTGAGGGGATCAAGATGGCTTAGCCTGACATATGAGTTGCTTTAATTCTAAGCTTGGGTTCCTTCTACATATAAATTACTTAAATTCTTTAAGGGGTTCCAGCTCAGAGAGAGTGCCATTCAAACACAATTAACAGCAGGGAAAAATGTCACTGAAAAAATAAATAATGTGCAAAGAAAGCCAAACGTCATGCAGGGCTGCCAGAAATTTTGCACATCAGTCTGGCTCCCCGTTCCCCCTTCTCAGTTAGCACAAAATTGAAAGCGAATTGTCACTTCAGGGTTGTGTTGTTAGGGTGACATGAGTTCACACAAAAATATTTTTATTTGATATTGATTTAAAAGGGGAAAGAAACACTGATGCAACCCCGAGAGCTGACCACAGGAGAGGGAGGCCCTGAAAGGATTGCATGAAGTTACAGCATTGCTTTTAATCAAAGCAAACAAACACGTACAGGCTGCACACACTGCAGAGATGAGAGGGAAAACATCCCATTATCAGGCATTAAGGATTTATTTTCTGTTGTAGATTATTCAGTATAGTCTCAAAGTAATTTATGCTAGTGAAAGCTAAATGGATAACATGTTTCAGTATTTCTAAATATGTCAGGTTTAGGTGTCTCTCTTGAAGTTGACATAATCTCACCTAGATCATTACGAGCTATTCTGGACTTGTCTTGCCAAGTTTGAAATTTATGCATATTTAGGTGCCGCTTTCATGCTGCAGTAGCATGATAAATGCTGGAAAAATGCATCTTTCTGATACACATAGATTTTTCTTCCTGCAGCTTTCTTTTGAAATCACGATCTATTCTTCACTCTGTCACGTGAAAGTTGATTGCGGGTCCTGCCCACTTTGCCAGCAGTTATTTCGCCCAAAGTCACTTAAAGGCACCACATATCAGTCACTTTTTATGATCTGTGGTTGTCACATTGGAGCAAATCTCCTTCAGTATGTACGCAGCTTGAGACTTCTTAATTTGGGGCTGCAGAGCAGCATTCTGTTTTATCAGCAAAATCTCAGATGTTGCATCCTGGTTTCAAAGCTTTACCTATATGGAGATGAAATATCTGTAATAATGTAGCAGTCTAATAGTAATTCCTACTTGTAAGTCCTCATATCCATCCATAACCAAACAAGTACAACACGGTCAGCCAGGTGAACAGTGTCCATAAAGCTTTCAACCACACCCACTTAGGAAACACATTGTAAATTATTGTAATGTTATTAAGATTGCTTTAGACCATCTTTTCTTAAGTCTTTGTTTTCAGTGGACCTGCTGAAACAAACAGGAATGCAACACCATAACCCCAGAGTTGTGTTTACATACCCTGTATTCTTTGCTGCCTTGCTGCAGTCTACAGACATTTTAGTCTGAGTTAGAGGCTCACTGCACATGCCACTTCAGTGAAGTCCTCACGGTCACTGGAGTAAAGCAGACTGTCTCCCCCCCCCCCCCAAAACACACGGTGATGTGCCATTAGGTGGGGAAGCGCTGGAGGAGTTTAAAATCCACTTTGGCCGCGTCAGAGGTTAGCCTTATTAAAAAAATGATTATTAGTAATTCAACTTAGTGTACTACTTGTTAGAACTGTCAGATAATGTGAAGTATTAAATAAAGCAACTTTGTTTAAACTAAACTTGAAGCAGCAAAAATCGTTGCAGCAACTCCAACCAGCTCTTCAAGTAATCGTTGTCTCGACCTCGCGCCTCCCTCTCCTTTCCTTTCCCAAGCCTATAATTACCTTTATCAGTTAACGGAGCTAATTTATTTTGTCATGCCCCAGTAAATACTTAACCCAAATAATATTATTCACACTCTACAGGATGGTTGGACTGCTTCGTCGGCACACCTGGGGGCTTCATTATCGGGCCGCTCGGTGCCGGGGGGGATTCTGCGATGTGTTGTGGGGAGACAGGGTTACTGGAGTGAAAACACCTTAGGAGACCTCCTTTGGATAAACTACCATATTCCCTCTCCCCAATCAATAGGTTACTGCAGATCTCTGTGTAAAAACTCTCGTCAATACTGCTGTAGGATAGCGAACACGAATCCCAGAGAGTGAATCTCACTGAGCTCTACAGGAATTGCGCATCAGCACCTCACTCTCAAACCAATGGCCAGATTATATTTTAGCACTTTAGATAAAGAAAATATTAATTTTCTATCTAGTTGGAATCATTACAGGCTTTGAGCTATGTTTAACCAATAAATACAGTTTAAATTGCAAGCGTTTAATTAAGAGGAGCAAAAGCTCATCCTTATGTCTGTTGAACTTAAATCTTAATAGTCTTGTTCCTCATAATTCATACAGTTGGCAAAATGAACTAATTTTAAATATATTTTTTATCTTACTGTTAATATTTTATTTAAAATATCCATTTGCTCCAGTTGATACTTTAAAACCACATTAGGGAAGCCTCTGTGGAAACTGATGGACAAATACAACAACCTTTTTACTGCATATATCTTTATTATATAGAAGATTGTAAAGTCATTTTAGGTTTCTACATTTTTTCCCTTAGTCATACAAAAACGTATATCATTTTTTTATTTTATATTCCAAAAATAAAAATGCTGCAGAACGTCATAGTCAGATTACACCTACAGTATTCCGATTGACTGATTGGACAAACACTTAAGTGGGAATTTAAGAAACAAAGAA